CCCCCCCCCCTTTTTTTTTCCTTTAGGTTGTTCGTGAGGCAGCAAATCGGAAAGAAGGAAGGAGGAAGAAAGGTTACGAGTCAGTTGGTGTATCTCCCCGAGTGAGTCACCAAACAACCGGTATGGTCTAGACTCTGGCAAACGGTAGACGGTTAATAGCGGTCAACCAACGGAGAATGAAGGATCCATGTTGGACAGCGCGCCATCTACACATGCCGAGAAAGGAAAGCTTTGATTTTTTTTTGTTCCCCAAGGGCGTATATATCCGAGTTAACTGTCATCCATCTTTCCTCTTACACGCCTCGGTGCGGCAAGAGAAAACTGCGTGATTGAGATTCCCATTCCATCGTCATGACGCTGAGTGTCAAAGAAACATCATTGCCTCCCCCATTCTATAATACCCATGTGAACAAGGAAACATGTCTAAAACCATCTCACTTTCATGATATCATCTCTTCCAATCGCATTTACTTCCGTGACCCAATCCGTAACCCAGGCACCCCCTTCAGCCCCATCTTGCCCACCGTCGACTTCTCCAGCATCGGCGGCTCAGGGCACCCCATCGTATATGCATAATCATTCGCCAGCTTAACCAGCTCCGCCGTCGACAGCTGCAGCTTCTTGACAAACGTCTTGTTGTAGCCCAGAAAAGCCTGGTACGCTTTCGACTTGGACACTTCCTCCACGTCGACAAAGGCCCGCTCAATCTTCGGCTGGTGAGCAGCCAGTCGCGACACAATGTCGACAGGGTACGGCTGGATGGGCAGCGTCTTGTTGACGCGTGGGAAGAAGGATTCTTGCTCGAATAGGATGATGACTGCGCGTCCATCCTTGCCTGCACGCGCCGTGCGACCCACGCGGTGGACGTATTGTTCGGTGCTCGAAGGGAGCCCCACTTGGATTACGAGCCCAACATTGGGAAAGTCCATGCCGCGCCCAACCACGTCAGATGCAAATAGAATTCCACTTGACGCCTCCTTGAAGTCTTTGGTCGTCTTCGTTCGAGCGGGCTGCGACATGCGGCTGTGCAGCTCAAATAGCCGGAACTCAGGGAGTGCGTTGCGATACAGGTCGTAGAGCAGACCCACGCCGTTTGCCGTCGTGCCAAAGACAATAGCCTTGAAGTCCGTAGGGTTCTGGTTGTATTCTTCCTCGATCAATGCGGACAGTGCAGGAAACGTTTGACCAACGGTAGGAACAGTAATGAAAAATTGTGGCACCCGCTCATGCGTGGGCACTTCATTGGGATCCACTGTCGAGAGATGCGTGTAGCCGGGGAATAAGACAATCTTTGCAATATCGAGCACTTCTTTGGGCAGCGTTGCAGAAAAGCACATACCCTGCCAGCCGTCATTCTTTGGTGGGATGCGTCTCAGGATCTTCTTGACTGCAGGTGCAAAGCCAGCATCCAGCATCTGATCGGCTTCGTCTAGCACCACCGTCTTCAAGTGCGAAAACTTGTCGCGAACTTCCTCTTCACCCAGAATATCGTCCAGTCTTCCGGGTGTTGCTACCAGAACAGTAGGGTTGCCGTTCATGAAAGCCTTGAGATTCGACGCACGCGAGGTACCGCCAAACGCAGTGTGACACTCCATCTTCTGTGGCAGACATGCCGTCACACCGTTGCACTCCTTGGCAATCTGCAGAGCCAGTTCGCGCGTGGGGCAGATGACGAGGATAGCGACCTTGCCTCTTGGGGGCATGTTGCCAGCCAGGAGGTTCTGAATTGCGGGAAGTAGGAAAGCCACCGTCTTGCCTGTACCCGTCTTTGCCTGGACAACACAGTCGGATGATAGTGAGGGAAGCTCTGTTAGAACCTTTTGCTGAACCGGGGACATGTATCTGTCGTCGTTAGTTGAGCCTCCAATGCCAACACGCAAAGTGAGGAGCAATATCCCGCTTCATCACGTATCCTGCTTACTGGAATCCCATCTTGTCCAAACCGTCAAGCAATCCTGGGTGTAGCCTATCCTTCAACTCGGAAAACGGCTTTGGGGCCGCATCGCCTGCCGCCGTGCTGTACATTTGTCGCACATCGACGCTCGTGTCGGGAGTTGGCTGCGTGTTTTCCATCTTCGGGCGTTTGGGCTGCTGCGACATTGTCGAGCGAGGCGTTGACGTCCCGGGTGTTGCTGCACCTCCATTTGTACGATCTCCGCCACCGCCTCCTCCTCCTCTGCCGCGAGGCCACTTGCGCTTTGGTGGTGGAGGCATCGTTGATAGTTGTGTTGCTTGAGTGTGATGTCTGTTGTGGAAGCTAAGGGGGGCTGTTGAAAAGCAGCCGAGTTTTGTATGAGTTACTAGGGACGAGCGCGAGGGAACAAGGCGAGCAAGAGCGATCGAGCGCAATGGACGAGATACTAAAACTTGTTCTATTATCTTCATTCGTACATACACATGAAGTCCTCCGCAAGAGACTCGGCAAAGTACAGAAACTGTGGTTGTTGTGAAAAAGGGGAATTTGCTGGAAAGCGGTCCAGCACAGTGTTTGTGAAACGACCAAAAAAAAGTTCAGTGCACGACGTCAGTCTGTGCTTCAACCGCGTCGGAGCTGAGTCAGCTCGTTGCCCTGCACTTTACCATTGTCAGCACTCGTAATCCATCATCATTACTATTACCACTTCAACTATATTATCAAGAAAATCTTGTAGCATCTGAATTTTGTTGAGAATAATACCAAATAGCAAGAGTAGAGCACAAATGCCGCATATGCTCTATACTATGGTCAGGCCAAATAGGGACAATTGACCAAGAAATGTAGGAGTATTAAAGAGTGACGCACCCTGGAGTTATGTCTTCCTTTTCTTTGCAGCAGAGGGTGAGATTTCTTTATTTTCGTTTTACACCTGGGTACATACGCGCCGACTATTTGCATATCCAATCGCTTTTTTAACTACATTGGCATCCCCCTTCTCCCATCATCGACCCCACTCAATATATTGACTAGAATTCTCGATCCAGTTTCTGTGCGGCCGCTGGTAATGCTCGTGCCAAGCGAACGCACCAGTCAAACGATCGTACATGTCAACATACTCTGTTGTTTCCATGTACATCCACCCAACCTCTTCAGAAACATCATCCGTCTCGCCGCCCTCCCAATCCCTACTAATATGCATGTGAGGGACGTCTACTTCTTCTTCTAGCTCCCAGTCCGTAGTAAGAATCTTCATCGCTGGGTCTCTTGCTTCAGGTTCTTCAGGCCATTTCTCTACCGAGTGCAAGCAGTCTTCATCTACGAAGATGCAGTACTTCCATCGAGGCGGCACAAGACTTGCAGGATGCGTTGTGCCGGGCACATTTTGTGCGTCATTGCCGAGTAATTTTTCACGAACCTGCGCGAGTCCGCCCAGTTCCTCCAGGCACTCGCCGCGAAGCTGTTGGGGTAAGTCATTGGCTACCCACGCACGAAATGCGCGGCGTGCGGTGTACGAATCTGCGCTACAAAGTGTTGCTCCATCTTCAATAATTGTAATCTCGTGGTGCGGGAGCAGGTCTAGTTCATCATCCACTTGTAAGCTATATTCGACTCTGGTACGAAGGATTTCGAGGAACTGTGCCCATAGCTCATCATTGGAAGGACCATAGGCTGTGCGGACGATGACGAAACTCCATTTGCTGTCTGGTTGTAAGTATGGGTTTGCGAGACTGGTTTCGGTGGCATGGTGCCGTTTGTGGTCTCTGGGCGTTCGTTTTAAACCCCACTCTCTCATTTGTCTGATGATTTCAGCAGTCTAGGGAGAGTCGTCTGCTGACATGGTGTGTTGATACCCCACAGGAGATGTGCGAAACGGTGGCTTGAAGTTGAGTAGAACAGGACTTTGATACTTAGCACACGATGGAAGGATAAGACTTGAACGATTGATGCGTGGGAAACAATGCGAACTTGTTGGATAGACAAACGCCGCATTGGTATTGGTCGGATAAGCCTTGATGTGGCGACGATCAACAGCTCCTAATATAATGAGCAGGTATGCAGCAAAGCAGAAAATTAGATCACACTTGACCATATTCGATAAAGCTTGGGCAAGCAAGGGTCCTTGATCTGACGACCCGCAGGTGCATATCAACACTGTGCAAGCTGATATTTCGAGCACTTTGCGATTATAAAACGATTGTTGGGGTATATATGAACGAGATCAGTGGCAAACCCAATCCAACTGAACGCCTGTGCCTCCTTCATTGCAGATAGAAGCCAACAAGGCGAACCTAGCGGCTCCATAATCTTCGTAGCTAAAGGGCGAAGCAGGCTGCAGCTTCTAAACCCAAATTTCGCAGTCTGAGTAGTTGTGTGCCATTGTCCAGTTTGTGCTGCTGCTTTGGTTCATCTATGACGAGACCTTTGCATCAAGATACTCGCCGGTCGATCTGTCAGCAAGATATGTCACTTTTTAAAAGTTAACCCGAAAACGATGAATATCAGAAGTAATTTCCTTCCTGGATATGCAACGCATCTACCGGGAGTCATGACATCTTCAGAAGAAGTGTAGGCCGCTTGAATGACTATTCTCGCTGAGGTCAGGGAACTTTAAGATATTTCAGCAATAACGTCAGGAAATTCGTAACCGCACGCTGTACTTTGATTCTCGACAAGTTAAAAAAAACGGGCATGAGGCTATAGCCACGGAACCCATTGAGAATCCGACCAAGGCAGCGAAGTACTTTGCGACTCAGATGAATAAATTGAAACACATTAACAGTTCTGTTGGAGCAGAGCAGAATATTAAGAACAGTATTAAATTCAAGCACAACACTCTTAACCAGCATATATCCCTTTCCACATATCCACACTCTGCATCACACCCTCCTGCAGAATAATTTCCTCAAAGCCCACAAACAATAGCCCCAAACTCATTCTTTGTCGCCTCCCACCACGCGGCCTCGACCGCACCAGGACCGCAGGTACTTGGTGTCGTGAACTTCCACTCAAGCAATCCGTTCTCGCCTCCGCACCAGGCATCGGAAATGGGGCAGTCGCCCTGAAAGCTCTTCATGTTATCCCAGAGGCCGCCGCACCAGCCGGGAATGCCGTAGACGTTGTCGGCAGTTACTCGCCATTTGTGTACCCAACCGCCTTCGTAGCCGCAGGTGGCGGAGAGGGCGGTGGCAGGAAGGATGATGGTGAGGCCGAGGGTTGTGAACTTCATTTTGGGGGATGAAGCGATGGATTCGATTCAGTAATGTAATTCGTAAATTGGTTTGGTTTTGATGAGCAGAAGAGTATGAGGAAGGAATTGATGGTAAGATGTGTTGGTGATTCCATCTGCTCGATGGCAACTTGAGTTTATATACACACAGCCAAGATCATTGAGCTGTTCATGACCGCGAACAAGTCCTCTAGTAACACTATGCAATCAACTACACGGGAAGTATATCCCTTGGCTTTCCGGCAGTGCTTCACGATCCCCTCCAATTACCAACCTATACTCAAGGCAAAAGTTGCTGAGTACCTCCCCATCCGGAAACTCCAATCGCAACTCACCAACCCGCCTCACGCTTCCCCAAGCCACGCACCGCAACCCAACTCCACCCCTCGACATCACCGAAGATCAATTCCCCCATCTCCTCCTCTTGGCACCTCATCACCTTTCTTTAGCAACAACCCCCCAACGACCCTGCATACATTTTCCCCCCTACCCACAAAAGCACCGATCTACCCTCCGCCATTCCACCGTGCACCAAACTCCTCAAATGCGATTCGCCCACGCACCGCCCGCCTTAAATCCAAGAAAAACCCCCAAGACCCCAACCATGTTTGGGGTCCGAAAGCACGGTATCGATACCCATAGCGTCCGCTGCGGGTAAGGCGTTCCACCCGCGAGGGGGGGGGATACCAAGACAAAACCAGGCGTCCCAGCCCTGCGCTCCGCCTCGAAAATGCCCCACTGGGTATCGGGACGCCTGGGTTGATCTTTGCCTTTGCGAATGCAAACACAGATCTTTTTGAGAAAATGGAAATCGGACCTTTCGAGATTGCATAGGCTAACAGAGTTCTTCCCCGCCCCTCTAATGGGCTCCACTCACACTGTGGTTTTTATGATTGGGTGGCTCGGGACGTTGGGAAGGGGGAGGGTGAGGGTAGGCTCGGTGGAATGGAGTGTCTATCATTTTCTCTATGGGGTAGTACTTGAGAAGTCTCGGCGTTGGGGCCTGAAGGAAAGTGGAATCACCAACTCACCAAGAGAACTTTCGCTTGTTTTGTCCTGAAAGAGAAATGAATCAAGACCATCTTCTTCACTTAGGATAGTGATACCCTACACTTCCATCTTGGCCATATCTCTATAAATCCCCTTCAAAAAAAGTCCCAGTTCACTTCACCACTTTCATCAGTCTTTCCAAACTTCCAACCCCCAACATCCACATCCTACAACCTTTCTCCTCAATTGCTTCTCTACAACCACATCCCAAAAATGCACTTCACCACCCCCCTATCCCTCTCCCTTCTCCTCCCCCTCCTCTCAACCACCGCCTCAGCCGCAAGCTGCACCATCGACGGCAGCGCTGCAGCCTACCACTGGGAAGTCCGCGCCAGCGGCGTCTACGGCATCCCCGGGTGGTGCGGCGGCCTGTGGGACAACCTCAACAGATGGGGCGGACTGTGCAATCCTTCTTATCCATATTGTAATGGGCAGGACGGCGAGATGGTGTGGAGGTTTACGACGAGTGTGGGGTGTATGAGGGGGCATGTTGAGTCGGTTTGGTAAGTTTTTTGTTTTTGATGGGGGGGTTTTTTTGGGGGGGGGAGGACAGGCTAACGAGGAGAAATAGGTGGGAGGCGACTAAGAATGAGTTTGGGGCTATTACTTGTGTGGATGCGCCGGAGAAGAAGAGGGAGGTGCTGGATGCACCAGAAAAGATGAAGAGGGAGGAGTTTAAGGCTTGAGCTAGAGGTGATTTATGGGGATGGTGCTAAAGGGGTGGGCTGAAGTGTGAGTGAAGGAGTCTTAGGCATGTGAGGATTGTTGTGATCATTTCTAGCAGTGCAATATAATTCGCTGTTTCAACTTAGTAAAGTGGACACCAACAATAGATTGAGCTCTCAGAGATGTTCACTGACGTTATTGTTGATACCACTTTCATAACAAGACAACTAGCATCCGACATTCTCACTCTTGAAAAAAACGTTGCACTCGCATTGGGTTCTACCAAAACAATATTACACACACACACACAAAACAGCCCAACACAAGCACATTTCGTCCATCCATCCACCTCAACACTTGGGTATCAAATTTCACAACTCTGCATCCGCGGCATATCAATCAACCAGACCAACCCCCAAATCCTCGCTCTCGCCTCCGTCAACGTAGTCCAAAGCGAGTAATTAACCGCATATCTCGTGAATCTAGGATTCGCCACCCACGTCAACAACGCAGACGTCCGCGTCGGAATACGCACGCGATGCCGTGTATCAGGCGTTGGTATGGCTTCCGGGTCCTCAGCCAACGAGCGACGCTGCAGCTCCTCCGCCCTTATACCCTCTTCATCCGCCATTGCCCACCAAAAGAGCTTGCTAATCGGTTCTTCGCCTTGTAACAGCGCAGTGTTAAAATTGTCTTGATTAGGTATTGACTGCTGCAGAAACTTAAGGTATGATTTCAGTGCCCTTACAACATCGTTGGACCGACAATCAGGAGTTTGCTTGCTGTCTCTCCAGATACGCGAAGTGTGGTAGGGATGGCCCACTTCGCGGACGTTGCCTAGGTCAGCGAGGAGCCAGTCTGAGGGGCTTTGGAGGAATATGTTGGTGGGCTTGACATCGTCGTGGCAGTAGCCTGCGTTGTGGACAGCGGCTAGGATGGAGAGGAAGCGGTTGAATGCGGGGCGGTAGAGGACATCGACGGTGCGGTAGGATTTGATGCTTGGGTCGGTGGAGAGCTTCTGGGCGAGTGTGAGAAGGTCACCGCCTTCTGCTAGAGGGGTGACTAGGTGCCATTCTTCTGGACTTCCGGGCGAGTTGGATGCTATGAAGTGGGCCTTGACGGGGAGGAAGCCTTTGTATCTTGGCTTTGCATTTCCATCATCGTCAGTTCCATTGGCAGCAGTCGAAGTAGAGCCTCCAAAGTAGAGAGTCGCGGGTATTTCTGTTGGCCATCTATCGATTGGATAGCTAGGAGGAGCACAGTTTCGGAAAGGACTTCGTACTGTGTCAAAGGTCTTAATTACAGAGTCCTTGTAGACATACACACGTCCCTCCCAGCCGTTTCCCATAAGCTTCCAATGCTTGCGGTTGTCTAAGAGATTGGCTATGAATTGTGGATCTTCATTTTCCGGTCCCCATGAGTACATGTGCCGATTGTGGATGCGTAGGTTGAAGTTGGTCGCGACGGATTTCGCTCTTAGGTCGAACTTGGTCGGGACGTATTTCGCTCGTAGAGCTTCTCGGCTGACTAGGGAATAGTGTTGCTGGTAGAGAAGTGCAGCGATAAAGAATATAATGAGTAAACGGTGGCGAACACGGTAAAATGCTCGCACTCTTGGGGATGTTAAGCTGAGAAGAAGATGCCCCATAGACACTGATGTAAGAGGGAGTTATAGAGACTGGAACGGTAAGGCGTGGGTGAAGAGTTGTAACCGTAACGCTCGAGGAAGCAGGGGAAAGTGAAACTTCTGAATGTTTGCTTGGGTAGTTACTGCCTGTTTGCTCAAGTTGGGAGATACAAGTCCGTAATATGATATACTGACCCAAATTGACCACTTGTTGGAAAAGAAGTGGCTATTGTGAGCCTATACAGCATGCTAGAATCCATAAATTTACCCAAAGATATTGATTTGGTTCAGGGTATTGCGCTTGTGACGTGGGTGATTAGGTGTGAGCCACTTGATGATAGTAAGACTTGGCTTCAGGAAACAAGGAAGTAGAGAGTTGGGTCGGCTCAGCCACAACATAGCCGGCTCGCCTTGATGTTCTGCCACGATGAGAGGTCAGTGATACTGCGCCAGCGGGCCTTATCGACTGAGGTCCACCACGATGCTAACAAGGCACCATGTATATGTACAAAGTGTCATGTCTTGATTCGAACCAATCAAGCAGTGCGCAATTTGCTCGACACGGATGGCAAATGCCGTCCGCGAGCCCTCTAAGAGCCTCGCGCATGCACTATACAAGCTGGCGGCATTAAAGTGCCGTGGTGTCGTGAACAGAGGAGCCGGGGTGACGTCAAGGATACGCTGTCTCGCGTCCCCGCAGCCGTCCAACCCCCGGGCGACCCACGCGATCAACTCTCAGGGTCCCGCATTCCCGTGCAAGCCTCGCCGTCTGATCCCACATCCTTGCACCACAAATCATAGCCATGACTACCGAAGCTCGTTCTGCGCAGAATCGGACGCAGCTGATTGCCCATTTTGACGATTACAAGTAATACTGACGCAGCCAATGAATATATTCAGCAGAACTAACGCTGAGTCAGAACACGCGATGCGCAAAGCGACGGGTGGACCAAACTCTGGGAAAAAGACGAAGCGCACCTGTGGGATCGCGGTAGACCTTCTCCTGCATTACAGTCGTTCCTAGAGACGCATCCGTACCGTGAGACGCTGTTCCGAGAGGGGGAGAAGCGACCACTCAAGGCTTTTGTTCCTGTATGTAAAATACCCTCGACAGGGCCAATTGTTTCAAGCAAAGTGACTCAATTCCATAGGGCTGTGGTAAAGGCCACGATGTCGCTCTGCTAGCACGCTACGGCTATCAAGTATGGGGCCTGGAAGTCTCGCAAACAGCCGTTGATACGGCGAAGGAAAACATCAAGACGCAGCTCAACAGCTCTACTAACCATGGTACTACGGATGTGGTTCTCGGTGACTTTTTCCAAAAGGGGTACGAGGACCAGTTTGGGCCGGATTTTCAGGGTTTCGATCTCATCTATGACTACACGGTAGGTCGCGTGATGAGGATTGTGAAGACGTGGGCTGATGATGCTAGTTTCTCTGTGCTTTGCTGCCGGAGATGCGCAAGGACTGGGCTGAGCGGATCAAGAGTCTTCTGGCGCCGACGGGTGTGCTCGTGTGTCTCGAGTTTCCCATGTGGAAGCCGCTCAAGGCACCGGGTCCGCCGTGGGGTCTGAATGGCGTGCACTGGAATCTGCTGGCTGATGGTGGAGATGGCACGGTTGGTGAGTCTGGAAAGCTTGTTAGTGGTGGGAAAGACCAGGGCAGCTTTGAAAGAGTCGTGTACTGGAGCCCGCCTGAGTCGTTTGAGCAGAGTCGTGGTGAGGACATGATTAGTGTGTGGAAGCTGAAGTAGTAGGTTGTATATGTATCGAGTTGTTGGATATATGTGCGTACTTGCAGGAAAAGTTTACAAGTGGTGGATTTTACTACACCAGAGAAGTCTTACGTAGATTCGTAGAATATCTAGAACCGCAAAAATAGTCACTGTGGTGAACACAGCAGCATATCTGGGCAACTCCTACCAACAACACTATGCTCCACCGCAAAAAAGAATGGTCACTACGAGGGTCGAACTCGCGACCTTGGCGTTAACTGAAGGCCCTCTCCAGGAACATAGTCTCTGGCGATGGATTATTAGCACCACGCTCTAACCAACTGAGCTAAGCGACCTTTTGACCTTCAGGAGAAGGAGCGGGTGTGGAAGCTGCCTGCTCGAAACAAGCTGGAGGCTGAACACCGCGCTGTTGGTTGTTGTTGATGGAAGTTTTGAAAATTAGAAAAAATATATTCCAGAAGAATTTGCACGCCGGTGAGATTGGACTGGTGGGGCTTGAGAACTGATGTAAAGGTGGGGGGGTCACACCACATAGTCGGAACCAAACATGGGTCAAGTGGGTGTGGGTGCAAAAGGACCCCACCATCGGCAGATGCAACAGCCGCAAGGGGTTAGTCCAGTTCGTGTTGAGAGATACTCGTAGGTCCAACATTTCACCTTGTATCTGGCCAACCAAGACACGCTTTGAGAGTGGTTAGTGAGCCAAATCAACATCAGACACGCACGTCTTCACGGAAACGTCGAGACCAATGTTCATCCAAAAAAATGTAGTCGAATTAAAATCGTGTACCAATCAAAACGCCTCCCCAGCGAGGTCTTCAGCAAGACCTTCCAACTCTTCTTGTCTAAACGGAACCCACAGCCGCTCTGTGCCCATGCCATCTTTCCGGCTCTCAATCATCTGATGATCGTGAAACTCCTTGAGCAAGGTTCTAAAACTAACTTCACTGGTGCATACAAAGGCCTCGACAGCCTTGTGGTATAGGACGCGGTACTCCACGCCTTGGGTTGATTCTGGCAGAGCGTTCTTTGCTTGTGCGCCCTTCAACTTTGGCGTGGCAGTGACGTCGTCGTCTTCGTCTAGGTCCATGCCTTCCATCATAGATAGAGCAAGTTGCTCCATGACCAAGATGCGGAACAGTTCCCGCGCTTGTTCCGGCAGGGAGCGCAAGACGAAGCCCACACCGTCTCTGCCGCCCACTCGCCTGCCGCTGCGTCCAAGAAGCTCGTTGACAGTCTCGACAGTGTCCATCTCGGCGTCGTAGGACGCAAAGGTAGTCGCATCGTGAAACAAAAACTTGTATTGTGTTTTGAGACCAACATCCCACAGCAGAGGAAAGTTTGGTGTGTCTGCTGTACATATGAGATTAATAGAGGGGTGACTGGCTAGTCGGGCGAGCATGGACGGCAGCGGGGTTTTCCGGAGGTAGGGCGAGTCGATAGAGTTCAAGACGACGGGTACTGGATGCGATGGTGGATTGCTGGTCAGGTGCTCCAAGATGAAATCGAGCAGCACCGTGGGCTGGTTAGGCAGCTTCAAGTTCGCCGGCACAACAGCCGATGCGACCGTCGTCAGGAGTTCCTTGATTGTAGTACCGGCGACATAACCGTTTATGACTACAATCTTTGGCGTCTTCTTTGCTCCCTCATAAGGCGCGCGGTCGAGGAGGGAGTGGTAGAGATGGGCTGTGAAGCGTTCTGTAATGATGCGCTTCGAGCCATAGCCGTAGAGACAGATGTTGAAACCCTGTTCGAGTTCGAATATCCACTGGTCGTATGCGCGGCCATGCAGTTCCAGCAAAAAGTCTATTTCAGACTGGTGAGGGTCTTGGTATGCTTGTATTGACTGAAAGTACTCATCGTGGCTAAGGAGACTCTGTGTGGATAGTGTGTTGTTGGATGTCTTTGTGCCTGCAGGGCGGTTCTGCCAAAAGTACTCCTCGTGTGGAGGTAGTTCGGTCGGCGGAGTAGGCGAGCGTTGCTTTCGTGGTCGGCCTACTTTGCCAGATCCCTTTGGTCGACCCCTTCCACGCTTCGAGGGAGTCTCGGGCACAGGGGCTTCTTCTAGGGGTGCGTCCTCGGTGGACGGTTCTACCTCGTCGGCAGGCTCGTCGAGAATTTGTTGGGCGAGTTCATCCTCTTCGTCAAGGACATCCTCGTCACTGTCTATTCCATTCACTGTCCGCTCGAGCATGCGCCTGTTGCTCTTCCGACGTGCACTTCGGTCGGCATTGCGGACGAGGGTTGGAGTGCCGTCTGGGGAATCACGTTTGGCAGATTTTGTCGGAGTTTCAAAGACAAGTTTCCTGGCGGATTTTGGGGTGGCAGCGACTGCATTGGGGAAGCCGGACTTTTTCAAGATGGATCGAGGGGTGCCATGCTCGGCCAGGTATGTCCTCCCCTTTCTCGAGGGCGTATGGGCTTCGGGGGGATCCTGGTTGTCTGGCACATGGTCGGCTATGCGGGCGCGCAGTTTTTGCGGGGTGCCGTCGTCATTCTCGTCGTCGTCGTCGCGTCTTCTCTTTGTGCCAACCATGTCTGGGGTGTGGTGAAATGGGTTGGCGAGATGGGTTGATGGTGACGCGACTTAGGCGACAGTGATGCTTGGCGCGCGGCGGAGGCTCAAACGCCTCGCAGTGTGCGGGGACCAGAGCAAGAGGGCGCGAGCATCATGTGCCACGGGCGAGGACGGGGTATCCATCACGGCGGATGTTACCCCTTGGTTGGGAGCAGCTGGCCAATGCAGTCGAGGCAGCCATCTGATGTCCACCAGGGAGGGTGCAGATTGCGCGTGTGGCCGCACACGGCGTGCTTAGTCGGATGCAAGCGTACTCCTGGCAGGGCTGCAGACAGACGACCGACATGTGACGATGGCGTGGTGCAGTTGCTGCCATGGCCAGGGCCGACGTCACGGGACGGGCGGTGCATTCATCGCCATGCACACTGCCTGTGTGTGTTTGTACTCTACATATGCATGTAACGGGGAGAGAGGGAAACCGTTGGCCAGAGCTGCATGCAAGTTATCCAAGCATGCTGCCACTGGGCCGTCCAGACTCCACGCAACGTGTCCGGCGGGCCGTCTTCTGTAAGTAAGCAAGCGTCGGGGTGCAGTGTGAGTGTGCAGCAACCATGACGGGCTGATTCAGATGAGCGGGCAGATGACAGATCCCATGTGCAGCATTCAAGCACTTCTGTCTCGGCGTGCTACTTTGGTGTCGCGTCACGCAGCGGGCGAGACAGGAGACAAGAGGCTACAAATAGCTGGCCAGGCGGCTGTGTAGTGCAGTGCAGTGCTGGGCTGGGCTGCAGACGATCCGTCCATACATAGGCGTGCTGATGATCTCACCCACGGCGCTGCCCGCGCCTGTTCGTTTTCCGTCGTCTTCATCCGCGACTGCCCCGCACAAGCCCGAAACTTCACCTCCACACCTGTCCCAACCACGCCCTCGGCCACTCCACCACTCTCGACTCCCACGACGCCGCCGCTCGACCCCAGACTCCCTCACTACTGCTCCTGCTGCTGCCACCATCCCCGCCCGCCTCGCATCCCCGCCTGCTGTCTCTCCCCCCGTCCGCTCCCTTCCCCCTGCGACTCGCCCCCAACCAAACGCCGTGTGGCGCTCTCCCGCGCTCCCTGTCTCCAGCTCGGCCTCCAAGCACTTTGCTACTGCCACCATGGAACAAAGACGGCGGCCAGAGTACAACCTCGACATCTTCGCGGATGCTGCCTTTGTCAAGGATGTCGTCAAGGGTAAGTCTTTTCCCTTGTTTGTTTTTTCTTCACCTTCTGGCCCGGTCTCTCCCGTGAGTGTGTCCTGACCGCCCGACAGCAATCCTGCACACGATTTTCTTTCACCGGTACTTTACCTCGATATCGCCCCTGACACGCGACCTGCTCGACCTGACGCTGCCCGCCATCGACGATGTCGACCTTGAGACGCTTATCGAGCAGAAGACGTTTGCGCTCGTGCGCTCCATAGACAGCACCCACCAGCCACGCGGACGAGGTCAGATTGTCGTCCAGTTCTTTGAGAAGAAGCGGAGAAAGACGTACTTTTTCGGAAAGGCAGACGAAGACGTTTGCTGGGAGCAGTGGACGCTTGACGTGACTCTCGCCCAGCCCCGGACCGAGACTGGTACGTAGCAGCCCAACCAACCCTCCAACTCCTGCCAACCCACTAATCCACGCCACAGATGCCCTCAAGGTCCGTCGCGCAATGACAAAGTCGCTGGAAAAGGCCGCGCACAAGATCATCGCCATCGTCAACCGCGACAAAGACCACATTCCTCCCATCACCACCACCGACGCCAACCCCTTTCCCTACCAGATTGTCGTCAACCCAAAGTCTGCTGAGAACGACTGGCGGCCCCGCATCGGTCTCTTCTAACCTCGAAACCATCTGGCGGTGAAAGAAAAAATCAAAGGAAACGCAACTGTATATATGTATTACCTTGCACCATTCCCGGGCAAGACCAGGTTCAACACGAGTAGGATGTAATATCTTGTCGTTCACTGCGACATAAAAGAGACGGAAAAAGCCCTCGATTCCACATACCGGCCGTACTAGAGATGGGCCGCGGCATTTTCTTTTTTGCGAAACCTCCATTTCCTTTCCCCCTTTCGCCGCCGCCGCCACCACTCCCAAAAGCTCCACTGTACAGTGTCCGCCATGTCGGGCAACCTTTCCCCCCTTAAGTAAACCTTGCGATCCACCTGTATCGGAAAGTCCCAAGAACATGAGCGTTTTGATTGTTTGTTACCTGTTTGCTGCTATAGCTACACAAGATACCCCAATTCCCCAAATGAAATTATATTTTTTATGAAATACTACAGCGAGGATGTGGTTACTCGAGTCTTCCGGTGCGTGAATCTTTGATAATAATGGTCGTATGTTGATATGCCAGCTACCCAAATACACCCAACTATCGCATCATTCATTCCGCTTCTCCGCCCACTCAACCCACCTCTTCACAACCTCATCCACCTTCTTGATCCCCTCCCTCGTCGCCTCGACCTCAAACCACTCCTTGTGGCTCTTCCCACACGCCTCACACTGCTTAATCACCCGCTGCTCCCCCAATTCCAAATGAATCATGCGCTCCACCCGATGTGCATGCGGTACCTTGCGCACTCCCGCTGCCGCCCCTTCACCCCCAGTTTGCAACTTACCATCAGCACCACCCGCTGATCCCCGCCCCTGATGCGACGGCTGCCTCGACCCCGCAGGCGATGGCGTCGCAGACGAAACATGCGGATAGTACCGCACAAGCGAAAGACTATACCCGCATTGTTTCGTCCACTCATTCATCCGCCGATGCACATTATTCGCCCTGCCTATCTTGAGTAGGATTGTATCTTTCCCTCCCTTCTCTCCCTTGTCCCCACCTTTCTCGCCCTTTTTCTCCTTCACAGAATACTGCCTCATGACATCCGACGTCCGTCTCCTCGACCCTTCTCCCCGTGGCGCCAGCAAATTACTGGCTGCGGATGCGGGCGCCGGGCCCGCGGCTTCGGGCGTGAGCCAGAAGATGTAGATGAAGCCTTCTTCGTCGTGGGGGGAGATGGGCTTGGAGAGTTCGGCTAGCAGGGTTGAGGCGAGTTTCGGGGGGACGGATGTGGGGATGTAGCGCAGGAGTGTGGCGGTTTCGGAGTCGGAGCTGGGGTTGTTGGACTTGTTGACGGGGCGCGAGGGCTTTTCAGAGAGCGGCTTGCGCGAGCTCGAGGGGCGCGAGTGTTGGCTGCTGCTTTTGCGGGATTGGCCTTGTACACGCGGTGGTTGTGGTGGTTGTGATTGCGGTTGTGGGATATCTTGCATGGGTGTTTCTGTTTGAGTCGGTTCTGCTGGCGGCGGCTGCTGCTCTGTCTTCTTCTTGTGCCGTGTGGGTTCTACAACCTCCTCATCTGCAGATCCACAGCACAGCGATGCCCAGAAGCCTAGCTTTTTCACTGCTGGTGGTACCGATTTCGATGGCCGGTCTCTTCGTTTCCTGTCTGCCATTACATCGCTGGGTACAGACATCAGAGGGCCCTGGACAGCATCCCACGTCGGTGGCCGGTTGATTCGCCTGGGTGGTCGAGACCCAGATCGTCTTCTATGGCCACTGCTCCTCCTCTTGCGTGGAGCGGCTTCGTTCTGCTCCTCAACATCCAGAACACCCAGCCGTTGCACCAGTGTATCAATGCTGGTCCTCTCTTTCAGCGGGTATAACTCGGTCGCTGGTCCCGTCGATTCTTTCGCTGCCAGCGTTTCCGCCTGGTCTTTGTGCTGCCAGCAGAAATACGCCGCTGCGCCAATCTCCTCCCCGCTATCATCTCCAGCTACAGACGTTACGGCGAGGACACCATCGCCTTCAGGCTCCTTCGCGTCGATAGGCCGTTTGCATGGTCGCCCGGATTGTGTAAGGCCTTTGCACGTGGTCGCCGGATTTCGCGAGTCTGAACGAGGAATGAGCGACTCCGGTGTCACTCCGGTAAACATGTTTGATGTAGAAATGCGGTTTCCGCAACTAGGAATGTTTTGGAACGTTGGAGAGTTGAATTGGGAACAAAAAGCTGTAGATTTCTAAAAGGTAGGGAGCTTCGACGCGTCCATCACGGCGCGTCCATAAATTCACAGCCACATCGTCTCAAGAAGCATCAAGGGCAGCGCATGGCTGTGAAATGTCAAGTGGAGCGTGTGTGACGACAGAGAGGCCCACTCTGTCATCCAAGATTGTCGTCAGCCAGCGCATTGTGAGCCAGCAGTCATAGCGTCCGTGTCGGCGCGTACCTACCAAGAAATGGCGGGACTAGGCCCGTTTGTGGCGGTACTTGTGGCGCAGCTTCACCAAAAGGGCAGAGGCAAGAAAGCGCACCGCCACAAACGTTCCAAAGCACCTCTCCACAAGACTTGTGCAAAGACACCCACGTGGCAAGAGAAGTAGTGACAGCATGTACACAAAGACGCGCTACTGTCGTTGCTGCTACTGCCAGCAACTGTCTCCATCTTCAACTTGGCCCAGAGCGCAAAAAGATATCCAACCTCAACAGCGAGAACCAACGAAAAAACAAAAAGATATCCAGAAACCGAGCACCAGGTCCAGAATCAAAAACAATGAAAAAGAAATATTGCATCGGCCGGGAATCGAACCCGGGGCTAGCCGAAACTGTTCTCGAGGAGAGATGGCAACGGCTAATTTTACCACTAAACCACCGATGCTAGGGATATCAAGGTAATAGAAGCTGGTACTTCCTTTGATGAAAGTTCGAGGGCTTAGACATGTTATATTTTTCAGGGTATGCACCTCGCGTGAGGCTGGTTCAACCCCAGACTCTAGCTGCAAATGGTAAGGCTCGATGCGAGACAGTCTCTCGAGTCGAGACTACCATTGCGCACTAAGAACGAACGTAGGGCCGCTTGTACGGGCTAGTAAGCAACGTGGTCACAAAATGTCTTAGATTACAAGGATGGACGAAGCACCCAAGCCTAAGCAGCTCGACTCTCTTCTTGTATTTCACCGGATCAGCGTTAGTAGCTCTATCGTGGCTCAATGCGGTGAGCTGTACAACGCAGACACAACATCTGCAAATAACCGTAGCCTCGCTCTTCCCGCTCTGTGATAATAGACCTGCTGCATGGATAGAACATGTGCTGCCACAAAACCATTCCTAAGAGGACTCATGTAGTCATCATTGGCAGAGTCGGCGGATGTCCGGAATGGCGAGTCTGACCAGTCTTACACTATCTTTTTTGTCGCTCTGGCCTCTTACATGATAAGCGTTTAATATCAAACAAAAGATAGGCGGTAAGGAATCGGCGGTCCGAATTCGAGGTAAAGTCATCCGACGCAGCTATGGTCTGAGTGATACCCTTGTCGCTAAGGATCTCTCAAGTGTTGGCATGCCGGAAGCGGCGATGTACCGCGCTGCAGGGGAACCAAAGTGCGGATCCCACCGCGGTATGCTTCCGTCCACCGAAACATACGCTCTCCCCGCACATTGGCATATCGCACCCAACTTATAAATCAGCACGCTTGGTAAACGTCTAGATCCGTAGTTAGGCAAAAGATAACAATTCCATTTGTATGAAAAAAGTTACCGAGCCGGGTGTTGCTGCGATATGCTTTCGATAACCCACGCACTAAACTGCTTGCAGGAGGTCCATGCGATTCCTCCTAACCCACGATAGCGGATACTACTAGTCGAGACCCCGCCTGTCGCGGTAGACAACCGCGGAATGTATGATCCATGTATAGACTGAAATATGCGATGATAAAAGGGAAGGATAGCCTGTGTGTTGGGTGAATTTTTAGTTTCTCATCTACCATCTTTCCTCTACCTCCTCTTGTATTGGCAAGGTAGACCAATTCCTTTTTTCGTAAATTCATAGATCGTCAACCATCATGGCGCCTCACCCCTTCAAGAGCATCTCTCCAGATGAGATACGCATCGCTCGCGATGTCATCCGCTCACTCTACAAAGACTCTCTCATCAACTTTCGGGAAATCTTCATCCAAGAACCAAACAAAGAGGCAATGAAGCAATTTCTCGAACTTGAACATGCTGCCAAGCCAGGTCATTCTGCGGCCACCAAACGACCGCCACGATTGGCAAAGGTCCAGTACGATGTGATTGGATCTGATAAGATTCCTCAGTACAACGAGTCAGTCGTTGATGTTGAGCAAAAGAAGAGAGTCCGACACCAGTCTTTTCCAAAGGATATCCAGTCCAGTCTGGCCTTGTGGGAATTCGCTGATCTTGTTCAAGCATGCAAGGAGAGCGATTTGTTCCAAAAGGCTGTGGCTGAGTTCCAACTACCTGAAGGATTTGAGCTGATTGTTGAGCCATGGTAAGAATACCTTTTACCCTTCTCTTCGACTACATGCTAATTGCGCTAGGCCACACGGTCCAGTTGACCCCGAATTCGAGAAGACCAGATACTTCCAAGGTCTCTGCTTTGCTCAAGATATGAGGAACGGAAACCCAGACTCCAACTTCTACTCATACCCAGTGCCTATTATCCCCATCATGGACGCAGCAACAAAGAAGATTGTCCGTGTCGACCGCTTGGCTACGGGTGGAAAGGAAGACGGCCTGACGGGTCAGACTTGCTCTCCACGTGTCCTGGACCACTGTGAGCCGGCCGAGTATGTTCCCGAGATGGTTGCTGGTGGACTCCGACAGGATGTCAAGCCCATCAACATCGTACAACCCGACGGTCCTTCATTTAGAGTTACTGATGAATCACTCGTTGAATGGCAAAAGTGGCGCTTTAGGGTATCCTTCACCCCCCGTGAGGGAGCAGTTCTTCATGACGTCCACTACGATGGACGAAGCATCATGTACCGCATGAGCATCAGCGAGATGACTGTGCCCTACGCCGATGCTCGTCCAGGCTACCATCGCAAGCAAGCCTTTGACTTTGGTGACGGAGGTGCCGGAAACTGCGCCAACAACCTTTCTCTCGGCTGTGACTGCCTGGGTGTCATCAAGTACTTTGACGCCACTATCATCAACAAAGAGGGTGAGCCCGTGGACCACCCCAACGTCATCTGTCTGCACGAGCAAGACAACGGTATCGGCTGGAAGCACACCAACTGGCGAACTGGCCGCGCCGTCGTAACCCGCAAGCGCGAGCTCGTCGTCCAATTCATCATCACCCTCGCCAACTACGAATACATCTTCGCCTACAAGCTCGACAACGCCGGCGGCATCACCATCGAGACCCGCGCCACGGGCATCGTCTCTGTCGTCAACATCGACCCAGGCAAGACCTCCAACTACGGCAACGTTGTCTCCAACGGCATCCTCGCCCAAAACCACCAGCACATCTTCGCCGTCCGCGTCGACCCAGCCATCGACGGCCACAAGAACACCCTCGTCTACGAGGAATCCCACACTGCGCCCTGGAACAAGGAGACAAACCCCAACGGCAACTGGTACGAGATCCGCAAGACCATCGTCGACAAGTCCACCGGTCTCGACTCAAACACCGCCGACAACCGCGTCTTCAAGATCATTAACCCCTACAAGAAGAACCCCAAGTCTGGAAACAATGTTGGCTACAAGTTTGCGCCGCTACCGACCCAGAAGCTGCTCGCGGCTCCTGGTAGTATCCAATCGAAACGTGCGCTGTTTACCCAGCACCACTTGTGGGTTACCAAGTACCGCGATGACGAGCTGTTTGCTGCAGGTCCCTTTACCATGCAGAGTCAGCTTGATGTAGGCGGTGTGCACGACATGGCTGCTCGCAAGGACGATGTTGTCGAGGAGGATTTGGTCCTTTGGAATGTCTTCGGTTTGACACATAACCCTCGGTACGTATTCCCCTTTCCTTTTACTTATCCACCGGATATTTGTAATCTGGTGGATCGGGCTTTTTTTTCCCCAAAAGGAGATGTGCTAACATGTGAACAGTGTCGAAGATTGGCCCGTTATGCCCGTTGAGGTTTACGAGATTCACTACAAGCCAAGTGACTTTTTCGACCGCAACCCTGCGATTGATGTGCCAAATACTAAGAACAACTCCTCGGTTCTGGTGACTAAGGATTGTTGCGATGGTAAGCTTTGAGGCTGAGGATTGGTTGTAAAAGTGATGGAATAATTTTATATCTCCTCCTGTTCTAGCATTTTCTGCGATGAGGTAACGGTTGAGGAATATATTGTACGAGAAATGAATAACTGTAATGGATAAAAGGGATGAATGTATATCAATGACCACTCTATACTGGTATACAAGTGACTGGATAAATATCGGAAGTGTTTCGCGTACTCAATTATTTTGTGCAAATCTGGCATCACCTTACACTGACCAAGGCTCTACTACATTGACTGTGAAGAAAAATATATCTTCACAAAAACAAATCCCTAGAGTACATACATACATGCTCGCAACACAGCACCGCTGTGCAAAAGTGGTATTCCGTTCCATCCAAAGCTCAAGTGCATAAATATTGCGAAGCGAAGAACAAAGCCAAAGACGGCAAGTAAAAGCACAGTTCGCCATACGCCAGTGCCTTTCCACAAAAATTGTACTAGACACATACTATTTACATTCCCCAAGCGCCAGTGACGGCGTTGAGGGCACCGTCGACAGCCTCCTCGAGCGTCTCGACTCGAAGTCTTAGCGTGCGGTTCTCCTCTCGCTCCTTGGCCAGACGGCCCCATACAGAGGATTGTGCACCGCCTTCACAATTTGAGCATCCCCATCCTCCCCGGTTAATGTCAATCTTTTCTTGCGTGGTTTTCTGTTGTAGCGACGCAGGCTTCTTGCCCTTGGTTGTGCTAACATGAGAGTCGTTGTCGAGCATCGAGGAACGGTCGGTGGCGGTTGGGCTCAAGCAGTTTCCTGACGTGACGCTTGCTCCGTCGTTTTCTGTTTCCGACTCGAAGCCAGAATCGACGCTGAGTCCGGACCCAGAAATGCGGTTGTGCCGTCTGACAGCAGTGTCGTGGCACGAAGCATGCTCACACTGGGCCGAACCCCTGATGAGCGCCAAATTCCGCTTGCGGGCTGCCTCTTCTTCTTGCCTTGCTCTTCGCTCAAACGCAAGGTCCTCCATGAGCGATCGCATCTGCTCGTCCTGCTCGTCGGCTCGCCTTGCCATGGTCTCAAGTTGCATCTTGAGGTGGCGGGCACGTGTCTCGGCCTCATCGAGCTCGTCTTCCTGTGCGCTCTGTTCCGAGTGCGCATCTACCAGAGCAGTAGAGAGTTTGCGGTAGGCAGTCTGATAGCGTGAGAGTAGCGCTTCGGCATTGGTGAGGAGGTCGTGGAAGGACGATGCAGCAAGAGGGTCGGCAGGGCCATGGGGGAAAAGAGCTTGCGAGATGTTGAGATTCAGCAGCTCATCATCGGGGTTGTGGTATGTGGGTGACGGTTGTGGGGGAGGGACTGTAGCGCTCTTTTGTGTCTTGAGCAACCAGGCGAACTTGCTGCTCGCGGTCGGCTGACTTGGTGCCTTGGTCTGCGCCGGCATAGCGCTAGAGGGCTGGGGACTCTCAGAAGCGCCCCTCGTAAGGGAAGAGCCGCGAGTGAAGATATTGGCCATCATGTTGCCCCTCTCCTCTTCCACTTCTGACTCTGACTCTGATTCCGAGTCGTACTCTTCTCCTGATGCCGACTCCGAGTCTGAGTAATCGTCGTGCTGCGAGGTGCTGGCCTTGCTAGAGGGCGAAGAGCCACTGAACCAATTCTGGATAGCCCTGATCTTGGGCTGGCTGGCGCTGGATTCAACAGTTCCCCTTGAGGGCATAAAACTGGCCAGGGACTTTGAGGGCGAAGAGGCGCGTGAGGTATGCTGCTGGATCGTAGTAGCGGCGCGGTTAAGGTTTTCGAATACGGTGCCGGTCAGCGTGCGCTGGTGACTGCTACGGCCTGACCTGGGGAAGTCGTCGAGTGGGCAGGGCGCATGTGGGTCGTACGCGGTGGGGGAAGTGGGCGTTAGAGCAGAGGGGGGTGGCTGAAGTCCGGTAATGTCGACGTCGTCAAAAGCGCGAGCGTCATGCTCAGGCAGGGGAGCCGAGTGCTTGCGAGAATGGTAGGGCTGCACTTGTATAGCAGCGCGTTGCGGGCCCTGAGCAGCGTAGGGAGGGTGTGAGGGCTGTTGCAGGTCCCGGTCATGCGATGAATTGCGGCTCATATCGGCGGCCCACTGGAGCGACTAGTTGTTTGGGGAAAGGGAGATTTGCAACGACGGCAGATGGTCCGGATCGGCAGCGAGGGCTATACGCGTGCTGCTGTGAAACACTGCCTCGACTCGTCGCCTGAGGGGAACGGGCGTGAGGGCGTGAGGGCAGCGGGCAGCCCGAGCGATGGGCGGCGGATAGGGCCGATGAAGGAGCAATGGGGGACGGTGGTGGGTGGGGTACAAGGGCTCAACAGCTGGTGCAGGAGGACAGCGGCGCCGAGTCGCTACAGACACAGTCGCACCAAAAGCAGAGGGAATTGGGAATCAGGGTTTTGAAAAGAAAGCAGGCGAGGATTTTGTGCAGCGTACAAATGTTTCGAGGGGCAGGAAAACTAAGGTGGCCGGGAGTCGCATTTTGTGAGGCTGGGACGGCTAGCCCGCCCCGTCATGCTCGCACACCGCAACACGTATACAAGGCTTACCCACCTGCGATACACGCTTCGCACCAATCGCGCGCCCTGGATGCACCGCGCCGCGCCAGTCACGCTGCAGCCGCCTTCAAACTCTGCGGTTCTCTCCAGGGCCGCCGTCTTTGTCATTATCTGCCTTTGCCCGCTGCCGGTTCCCTCCATGCCCTGGCCCGCCGTTCGGTTTCAACGCGTCGCCGGCCAATGGCACACAGCGCGTGTTTGGAAACATTCTTCTCCAGGGAAACATTTCTGTGACAGCAGCTGCTGGCCTCCTCAGACCCGGCCTGTAGCATCCTCTCGCAAACACCAAAACAACTTCTATTGCATTCGGCTTGCTCAACATGCCTACACTCCGTAGCTGCACCGCAGTAGTAGGGGTTCATCATCGATCCATCCAGTCCCGCTTGGCGCAGCTACTCCACCATCCCTCCCCGTCTCCCTTACCGCCATCTGCCTCGCTGGCTGTGTGTGCAGTACACACATGCGGCTCTACGACTTCTGGCTCAGATAGTGTGCGACCTCTGAAGTGCCCCAACGCTCGGTCCCGTCTTCTGGCAGCACCACCCACGGCGCCTTCTCCCGCAGAAAAATGTGCTTGATCACCTTTGGCGTCGTCTCTGTCTTTAGGCTTTCCAGATCGACCGTGGCCATGCACAGACCGAGCCCTTCAGGGTCTGAAGGGTATGTCATGGATATCGGTGCCCCACACCCCGAGCAAAAGGTTCGTTCGGCAGCGCTAGAAAGTTGGAGACTCGTGCGTGTGCTCGCCTGATTGAACCTAACCTCTTTCAACGGTACTCGTGTAAAGGCGAGAAATCCGGAGCCCGACAGTTGCTGGCACGCTCGGCAGTGGCAGATGGTGATGCCTGAAGGCGCCGCGCTCGATGTGTATTGTACCCCGCCGCACCGGCATCCGCCTGAGAATACGACATCGTCTTTAATTGTTTGTGCAACATATCGAGATCCGTCGGCAGCTTCAGTGTCGCGTCAGTTCGCCATTGGCTCAAGTGCAGCTGCATGGGTTTTACTTACGTCTCCGCGCTATACCCAGAAACACCGAGTCCACCTCTTCGACCTTGCCGTCTATTGCTAGTTTCTCCCACTCTTCTTTGTAAATCCCTTGTGCTTTTCTCCTGATGTCGTTGCTCGCAAACGTCCTGGCAACGTCCTTGACAATTACGTTCTCGACAAAGAAGTCGTCCCATTGCTCCATTTCATACGAGCGTCGGCCGTACCCGGCTTGGTTTTCGACTGTAAACACCTGCTCCACCTCTAGGCCAGCTGACTCCATTGTCTTCCGCAGAGTGTCCTCTGATTTGCTCCATGAGCGGTTATAGGGGATCGGCAACTGCAGTCTGCGCGCCACCCTCTCGAGAACCATGCCTGACACTAAATTCCTCGGGTGCGTCGCATCTACTGCCATGACACCCCCAGGCTTCAGAAACTCCGTCCAGTGCTCCATAGCAGCCTTGGGGTCAGGAAACAAGACAAGCGCAGAAGCTACCGTGATGACGTCAAATTGCTTCCCCTTTAATTCTTCCGTCTCATCCAAGTGTAACACGTCGCCCTTGAGAAAGGTAGTATTTGCATATTTATCTCCCCCTTGCGTCTTTCGATGCGTGGCGACCGCAAGCATACTAGGTGTGACATCGACTCCTACAACGTGACCTTGTGGCCCCACAGCCTCTGCTTCGCGAAAAGTAAGGAGTCCAGTTCCACATGCCAGGTCTAGTACATGCTGCCCGTGTTGTATATCCAGATAGGATATGAACCGTCTGGTAAAGTCGTTATGCCATGTCGCGTCGTAATCCCACGATTTCGAATCGTAAAATCGAATAGCATCTGCTGCCTGTCGCTCGCCCGTCATTTTGGTTGACTCTGGACTTGTTCTGTTGAGTGGAGAAAACACCACTTCGCCAGCATATGTAGATATACACAGAATGGTGGTTGCCAGCCAATGAGGGCGGGGCAGCTTGGTAAGCCAGGCTTCGATCTATCCAGTCAGAGTGCACCGTATGCTTCCTTCTCTTTCCCCTCAATGCTGACTAGGCAAATCGCTGGCAACTTTTCTGGGAAGTTTCCCATGAGAAGCCAGGGCTTCATCTTATAATAACTCAGCTTCATTTGTTCGTGTACGGCTCTCAATGTACCGGCCTGAGACATCCGATTGAACGTGAGAGGGGTGCCGAAGTCCAGCATCCCACTAGCACTAGAATTGGTAAGCGCGACGGACTGGCTATCTCTCACCTTTCGACCCTTCTTTCCTCCTTCAACATGTTCTGCAATCAACACTTGTCATGCTAGTGAGCAAGTATTCAAAAAAAAATAACCCGCAGTATTTTCACATGTCCATATTGCCATATTGTTTGATATTGTACACACTGACAACGCTGCATCAGATACCATCAAGGTTTAAACAAGGCACCATGTAACATACGATATACATACTATCTACTGACCTGGCCCATCTCTAGGCATCTTCAAAACAGCATCAAAAGCTTCAAAAGAGTATTCAGAATACTGATCGTATACTGCCGGAAGAATCGTAAGGTGACAGACAGGCTAAACGGCACTTCATCAAATGCCCCACCGCACCCCACAAGGTCATGGAGAACCGGCGTCATAATATCCATCACCTCTTCGAGGCGAGCCAGGGTCGGTAGAGTGCCTGTTACATCTTACACCCAATGAAGCGCCATTCTATGATGATACCCCATTTCTAAATCCTGGAAGGGCATCATGCACAATGCATGCTACCTACATAGGTCTTCAATACCCGCATCTGAAAACATGTCAAGTGGAGACACCTCCTTTTCGGGAAAACTGTTGGCCAAGGATGCTAAAGTGCAAGCCTGCCCCCTCGCGGCTCAAAGGAGCTTTTATATTCCAATGGAAGACTCCAAATATAGAGGGCGTTATTGGTTTTTCCATCATTCAAGAGACAGAATCCTGCACGACTCGCACCCCAGCTTCCCCCTATGTCATCTACCACGGTTCCGCATTTACGCGACAGTAAGAATCGCCGCTGACAGGCAACGAGACGTGTATCCTTAATTACATCGTATTAATCCTGCATGATCTGCTCATTTCTATCGCTTCATTTAAGATCGTCAACTTCCTGCGGGGATGTGGAGTGTTTGTGGAGCGAATAGTCAATATATAAGACAGAGACTCTCGAAAATGCCTGCGATCAGAAAAAAACTGTTTTGAGCACCCTAAAAATTCAGTATGAAGTACTCAATTGCCCTCTCACTCCTTTCTAGTACCGTCCTTGCGACGCCTCTGCTTCAGCAACGCCAAGGGGCAACATGCACTGTCCCATCGACTTTTCCTAGCACCGCCAACTCCAAACTACCGAATCCCTTCAAGTTCTTCGACGGAAGGTCTGTTGTTACCAAAGAAGACTTTGCGTGCAAGAACAAAGAAGTCAGCGCTGCCTTGCAGAACCAAGAGCTTGGTGATTTTCCCAAGAAGCCTTCAACTGTCACTGCTAGCTTCTCGGGATCATCACTCTCTATCACATCAAGTGAGGGCGGAAAATCTGTCTCGTTCTCTGTCTCGATCAAGAAACCTAGTGGGAGTGGTCCATTTCCAGCCATCATCGCCTATGGCGCTGCCAGTATCCCAATTCCCAGCCAGGTTGCTACCATCACCTTCAACAACGATGAGATCGCTCAGCAGCAGAGCCAAAGCAGTCGTGGAAAAGGCAAGTTTTATGATCTATACGGCTCCAGCCACAGCGCAGGGGCTCTTACTGCCTGGGCCTGGGGCGTCGATCGTATCATAGATGCTCTCGAGGCAACTCCTGGCGCCGGCATTGACCCCAAGCGCGTCGGGGTTACTGGATGCTCCCGGAACGGCAAGGGTGCATTTGTTGCCGCCGCCCTCGTTGACCGTATTGCTCTCGGGCTACCCCAAGAATCCGGATCTGGCGGTGCTGCCTGTTGGCGCATTTCTGACTCGGAGAAGGCTAAGGGCAAGAACATCCAGACTTCTAGTCAGATTGTTACCGAGAATGTTTGGTTCTCTCCCAGATTCAATGCATTTAGTACACGGTCCAACACACTCGCTACCGACCACCATCAGCTTGCAGGTATGGTTGCTCCTCGCGGCCTGCTTGTTATAGAGAACGAAATCGATTGGCTGGGCCCGGTTGCGACAACGGCTTGCATGAAGGCTGGTCGCCTCATCTACAAGGCTCTTGGTGTACCGGACAACATGGGCTTCACAGGCTTTGGCAACCACAACCACTGCCAGTTTCCGTCCAACCAGCAGGCTGATCTGACTGCCTTTATAAGCAAATTTCTGTTAAACCAGAGTGCCAATACTAATATCGAAAAGGGCCCGTCTGGTGCCGATGTTGCGACATACATCGACTGGACTGCACCTACGCTCACATAAGATGCATGGATGGGAACTCAAATGGCCGGGGTTGGGGATGTGAATGTATTCATGTAGACCAATTCAGAATTTAATGGCCATTCGCGCAAAGTTAATAGCATTCTTCCCCACAGCCAAATACTGGGCGCCGAAAGCCTGGTCAGCTGCAATATCGGGAGCGTGGGATAAGCAGCATTTCTTGGCGAACGCCACCTGACGACAGAGGAGCGAAAGGGTATCAAAAAAAAAATCAAAAGTCGTGTTTTTGTATGCTCAGACGATGTATTTCGATGAAGGAATAGACAGTGATGCACATGGTATGTCACGCTGTCGCGCAGGGCAAATTTTGAAATCTCACCACCAAGGCCCATCTGGCCAGTGAAGTGACTATGAGGAGCGCGATAGAGGACGAGAGCGCGCAGGAAGCATGCAAGGGCCCCTGTGAGTAGATATGCTCCTACCACCAGATTAGCGGAGGGTGGAACGACGAGTTTGATGTTTGGCTGGGCCGTGGTAACAAGTTTGGAGGGGTCGTGGACGTGGCACTCCACTCGTTCCTTGCGCCTCCGAAGCGGTGGCTCATTTCGGCACTAGCCCACGTCAAGCGCGTTGTTTGTCTTCAACCCCACAATCCCGACGTGCAGTGAGCGTGAGCGTGAACAGGGCGATTGAGATCAAGTCGAAGAGTCGCAGCGACGACATCACCTCCCTACGGCCGCCACACCCACTGGCATCCTCATCACATGACCCCGCCAAGCCGCTAACTCCCTTTGCGCGCGGACAAACGCTCAGGCTAGAGAGACCTCGCAGACGTTCACCACCCATCCCGATATCACCAAGACTTGCGCCCGCATCTCTCCATCCCCGCAACACGCTGTTCCTGACGCGTACTGCGGTCTCTGACCCTTTTCGAGTGCGCCTGCGCCCCTGCCACCCGCCACTCGCAAATTGCGCGCTCCGCTTCAGCCTCCTGGAACGACGCGACTCTGCGACGGGCGGACTCCCGAGAGTCTCTCATCGGCCTCATCCTCAAGAGGGCTTCTGCCACCACCACTCCCCCCGATAATGTCATAGAACACCGCTACACGCGCCACAACACACCCCTCGACTGTCGTTCCCTCATACTTGCGCGAGCTCCGGCGCCCAGACCACGTGCGGCGACCGCGTCTCAGACTTGACATCTTGTCATCAATCCTCGATTGCGCATTTGTACAAACACCGCGACTACAGCCCACCATGGCTTCAGTCCAGACTAACCCAGAGATGCCCGGCCAGGGCCAGCTCCCGGCAAACATCACCCGCGAGCAGATTCAGCATGTTTTCCAGGTACGTACTTGGCCCGCGACAGCTCGAGTGCCACCACCCATCACGCTCTCACACTCACTCTCACCCGCATGCCGGCTTTGCTAACACCGTCTCTAGCGCTATACTGCGATGAAACAACAAGGCGTCTCCGAGTCCAATCCCGAGTTCATCAAGGCGCGCAACCTCCTTACAATGGTTCAGAAGCAGAACCAGTATCAGCAGCAACAGAAGATGCTCCGACAACAGCAGATGCAACAGCGTCAGCAAGGCCAGGTGGATCCACAGGCTGTGCTACAAAACGGCGCTGCCACGGGCATGCTCAATGGTGCAAAGCCAGTTGCGCCTGTTGACGGCAAACCTGCCGTATCTACGCCAGCCTCGACCGGACCAACGTCTACAATGCAGATTGCAACTGCTGGAGGACAGGCTCCTTCAGTCGATGGGCAGACACCCACATCGGCCAACAATTCCTCAATGGCACTGTCCAAAGACCAGCTTCTGATGCTACGTGCTCAGATTGGAGCCTTCAAACACCTCTCCAAGGGTCTCCCTCTGCCTTCAAATATGCAGCAACAAATCTTTGGCCACCACCAGGCAAAGAAACCTCAGAATGCTGCCGAGGCTGTGGCAGCTGCTTCTCAGATGCTCGACAACGCGACTCGTGCCGGCAGCACCTCAAGTGCCGTGGGCGGCGCTGTGCAAGAGACTCGTACTCTGCCTCGTCTTCCGGATACTTTCATCGACCCCTGGAGTAGTGAAGTCTTCCGAGACGTCAACTACATCTCCCACACACAGCGCAAGAACCGACCTTACCTTGCGACAATCATGCCACAAGGTGTCGACATCAACGCTGTACAGCAGAGCATGGAAGAATTGCGCAAGGAGCGTGAGATCCTTCTCTACAACCGCCTTACGGCGAGAAAAGCAGAACTGGAGAAGATGCACGCAAACATCGGCTCGTGGGATACCAGCAAGACCGACACTCCTGAAGATGACGGAAAGGTCAAGTTGGCTCTTGTTATTGAGCAGAAGAAACTGAACCTGCTCGAGAAGCAACGCAAACTGCGGAGAGAAATCGCCCAGCAAATGATTCACGCAGACAACCTTGCCATGACTGCGAACCGAACCGTTTACCGCCGTCTCAAGAAGCAATCGATGCGCGAAGCCCGTCTCACCGAGAAGCTCGAGAAGCAGCAACGCGATGCGCGCGAGACCAAGGAAAAAAAGAAGCACCACGAGTTCATCGATGCCATCCGGAAGCATCGCACCGAGCTGCAAGAATCTGGCGCAGCTCAGCGAATGCGTCTGCAGAAGCTCGGCCGTACTATGGTTTCGACACACCAGAACATCGAGAAGGAAGAACAGAAGCGTATCGAGCGAACGGCCAAGCAACGTCTGCAGGCACTCAAGTCCAACGACGAAGAGACTTACCTCAAGCTCTTGGGCCAAGCCAAGGATACTCGTATTTCACACCTTCTCAAGCAGACCGATGGATTCTTGAAGCAGCTTGCCAACTCCGTCAAGGCGCAGCAGCGATCTGCAAACAACTCATACGAGCCTGAGGAGGAGAGCAGCAGTGAGGAATCCGATGACGAAGACCGACCGGGCAAGAGAAAGACCGACTACTATGAGATTGCTCATCGCATCAAGGAGGAGGTCACTGAACAGGCCACCAACCTTGTCGGAGGTACACTCAAGGAATACCAACTCAAGGGTCTGCAGTGGATGATATCTCTGTACAACAACAACTTGAACGGTATTCTTGCAGACGAAATGGGTCTCGGAAAAACTATTCAGACAATCAGTTTGATCACATACCTGATCGAGAAGAAGCGACAACCTGGACCTTACCTAGTCATTGTCCCCTTGAGTACGCTTACCAACTGGACCAACGAGTTTGAGAAGTGGGCGCCAAGCGTTAGCAAGATCGTGTATAAGGGTCCTCCAAACGCGCGAAAGCAGTATCAGCAACAGATCCGTTGGGGTCAGTTCCAGGTCCTGCTCACTACTTACGAGTTTATCATCAAGGACAGACCGATTCTTAGCAAGATCAAGTGGGTTCACATGATTGTCGACGAAGGTCACCGTATGAAGAACGCTGGTTCCAAGCTCAGCATGACCATCACACAATACTATTCAACGCGGTATCGACTCATTCTGACAGGTACGCCCCTGCAGAACAACCTGACGGAACTTTGGGCTATGCTTAACTTCGTTCTGCCTACCATTTTCAAGTCGGCTACGTCGTTCGACGAGTGGTTCAACACGCCATTTGCGAACACCGGAGGTCAAGATAAGATGGAGCTCACTGAAGAAGAGCAGTTGCTCGTTATTCGTCGTCTGCACAAGGTTCTTAGGCCTTTCTTGCT